AATTCATTATTCAAATTTCTTTAACAACGTGAATATCACAAAAACAAATTATCCATTATCATTCCTAATTTCCACACCAGTTTTCAGTGATCTAAAAAATTATTAATCCAAATTCTAATATTTCCACTCTCAAAATTCATTATTCAAATTTCTTTAACAACTTGAATATCACAAAAACAAATTATCCATTATCATTCCTAATTTCCACACCAGTTTTCAGTGATTTAAAAAATTATTAATCCAAATTCTAATATTTCCACTCTCAAAATTCATTATTCAAATTTCTTTAACAACTTGAATATCACAAAAACAAATTATCCATTATTATTCCTAATTTCCACTTTTCAGTGGTCTAAAAAATTCTTAATCCAAATTCTAATATTTCCACCTTAATCTATTCAAATTCCTTTAACAACTTGAATATCACAAAAACAAATTATCCATTACCACTCCTAATTCACTTTTCAGTGATCTAAAAAATTCTTAATCCAAATTCTAATATTTCCACCCTAAGCTAAACAAATCTATTACTCATACTCGAATCGCATAAGAAATCAAGCCATTGCCACTTACTCTTAATCAACGATGAACGCAAACAAATTTTTTCCATCTTCCTTACCTTCGTCCACCCCAAACCCCGATCCTCCGCGGAATTTGGTCGCGTAACTCCCGCGCGTTTGCGCGCGCGTCGCGCCGCGCTTTCGAGAGGGTGGTGCGCGTTCCACGGGCGTCGTCCGTTAGTAGTCGAATTCGTCTCGTCCTCGAGGAAGGTGCGTTCACCTCGGCGAGCGCCTCATCGCCAACTCGTCCCTCCGCGATTCCTTTCCTTTCGCCCGACCAGGTGAGAACAGATAGTGGAGGGGGCGGTTGCACCCCGGTGTTTTTCCTCCAACCCTTTCTCTCAGTGTCTGCCTCTCGCCTCTCTGGATCGACGTTCCGCGTTTTAACGATCGGAGGGAAACGCTCTCGCGTTACAGTGTGTCGCAGCGGCGTGTGGACTATGCTGCAGTCAGTGATCGTGGAGGGTGACCGAAGGGGGTGAGAGAAAAGGGATGATCGTGCGCGCGCGATACAGCGTCTTGCCGCTCCTCGTGAAAACACCATTTCCTGGGGAAGGAACCGAGGGAAGGACAGTGGTGTGCAAACCCTTTGAGAGAGGAAGTTCAGGTATGTTCGAGGGTTGTGGATTCTTTGGGAGACACCGCGTATCAGCTCTTTGGTCTAATCGAAAAGAAACGTTGCTTCGAAGAGTGTGTCGTTTGTTGATCTTTTTCACCGGACTTGCCTCTCCTCTCTCTCGTTTCGTATCTCCTTTGAGAAAATATTCTTGTCCTCGTGTTTACGTTCTCGTTTGAAACGCTCTTGTGGCATTTGTGTTGTGCTTGTACACTTTGAATCCGGGAATGGATTAAGTTTTCCTAGAATGGAAGGAGATGAGTATTGTTCAAGGCTGGAGGTTTTTCTTCTTTTATGTTTTCCTTTTTTCGAGTCATGTATCCGATCGAACGTCTTCGGATTTGTTGTGCTTCATCTTTGAATTTGAAGGAATATTAAGTTTTGAAAAATGAAGGGAGGTAGATATTGTTTGGAGATTGGATCTTTTATTGGTTTTTTTTTTTTCAGATTTCCTTTGTTTCGAGGCATATTGATTGCGTTACCCCTTTCAATTTGAGAAAGATGAAGTTTTGAAAAACGAGAGGGGATAAATATTTGATTGACTTGTGAAGAAGAGATAAAATATTAACGTATTGATAAATTTGTAATAGCATGCAATATTTGAAGTTCATTATATTTTTACGTGAAGACAAATATTTTTTTAAATAATGTGCATACGTGCATACAGTAAATCTTTATTAACATTGGGGATTATTTTAAACAGAAATAAAGTGATCATTCTCAATGACTCAAAAATTTTATTTTAATTTATATCCATCTTAACTTGAATCGTAACTTTGATGTAAAAAGAGAAATATTAAAATTCCATCAAAAGTAAAACAATATCTTCTAAAATTTCTTTACAAAGTTGTGCATACGTACATCTTCGGATGATCAAAATTTTGTCTAGATTCTATTAAAATATAGCCTCGAATCTGAAAAATCGAAAAGAAAAAGATCATATGTATATATATATATTAATCTCAACAAATCGAACGTCAATATGCTCGCATCGAAACGCAACAACGTTGCATATCAATATAAAAGTTAAGCTGCATATAACCCAGATAACAATCGTTGACTGACACCGTATGTAACGCTCGAATGACATACAATCGTTCGACTTTTCGAAATCGATATACAATAATTGAAGTTGCATAGTTTTAATACGCGCGAGCTGTAATCGTTAACAGTTCCATTGATCCACAATTCGACGGTTCCACAATTTCAATGTCCCCAATGGATCGTGTCCGATCTTTTTCAGAATGAAATTAGATCGACATACGTGCACTAACTATTCGCTTTCCCCTTTTTTTTTTTTTCTTCTTGATACGTATTGTTCGTTTTT